TATATATAAGGTACAATGTTGCACTTTTTAATGGTGTAACACCAGGTTTCTTCTCAACTCTTTTTGTGTTGTAGCTGAGGTGTTGGGGTTTTTACATTTTTCTCACGAGGAAGACTTTGTGGCCTTTCTTCAGGGGAGAAATGGTTCTTGGTACACAGTTTAAAAACCATTACTGGGCATCGAGATTAACTGAAAATCTGATAAATGAGATTGTGTGAAAATGTGGAATCATCCAGTCTATATCATATATAATTTGAACCAGAGTGGGGCTGATCTGGAGATATTTTATTATACGCTTGGATTTGTATGTTTGAGCTTTTTTTCCCTCAGGATCTGTTTTGTTCTCGAGTTTTTAAAACATGTTATGGGTGTGACATTTTGCACTGCCTCATATTTGAAAATTGTCTCTTTTCTTGTCTTTGTTGCCTTGAATTGTTGAATATATTGTGCTTTACCATCATTTGCCTTGAGGGTTTTTTTTTTGTTTTTTGTTTTTTTCTGGGCTGTATATCAAATGAAGTCACCGCCCCCCCTTCCCCTTCCCTTTTTGTTCTGTTAAACAGTTTTTGGGGCTCGAGTTTCATTCCACACAGACAGCTCTTGTTATGGGTAAGGAACACCCGTCAGTAGAAATATTATATTGTGGGCCTGTTGTTAACCTCAGCTCTTCTAGGAGCACAGCCAGTGAAAAACACAGGTCTGTAAGAGAACACTTTTCTCTTATGTATTTAGCTTTTCACCTGTGTTTTTCCAGACCCCTTATAGTCACTATATCTCAAGTTGAAAAGAGCTGGAGTGGAATGAAAATCTGCTCGTTTTGTTTTTTGGTTTTCTTTTTTTGTCCTTCATGAGAACCAAAGAATTGTCTTCATTCTGTCCAAATGAAGATTCTTCGTTTCTCTGGCCTGGTAAAGCAGTGAAAAAACCAGGGGAGGCAAACTTTTATTTATTTTTTCCACCAATGATTATCCATCGAGCCATGACACCCAACCTTCTTGAAATTTTCATCCTAAAATATTTGTTTGAATTGCTCTGTAATTAATGTACATTTGAGATTACCATTTCTTGCTTGTTCCTGTTTTTCTTATCTCTTATTTTCAGAGCAACTGAACGTGAGAATTGAATCGAAGACAAATTTGAGCAGCCAGCTTGTGTGTCGCCCAGGCAGGGGACTCTCACAAGCAGCAAGGTCTGCCACTGATCGCACAGTGTGAGTGAATGAGACAGTGAGTGTGTGCTTACGTACGAGTCCTACTGTATAGATAGTTAAATGCTCTTCTGATGGCCGTAGGCAGCAGCAGGTCGACTGAGAATTGTATTTGAGAATCCTGATTTTGCTCAGATGTGGCAAATATCTGCAAAATGGAAATGCTGATAAATGCTGTCTTTTTAATAAATGTGCTATTTTATCAGAACTGTGCTGCTGCCGTTTGTGACTAGCAGTATCTCAGAATTGCCATAGAGTGTTGGTATGAGATAATGTGGTATTTATATTCTCCTGTGATGAGTACTGTGTCTGTGAACCTATGGTGTCCAAGTGTTTTGGAATTATGCAACTTCTTGGATGCTTAGATACCCTAAACCTCTATGTAACAACATATCCTGAGGAACGACCAGAGAAGGCACAACTAGGTTCAGTGGGGTAACGGCACATGTACAGGCCCTTTTGTTCCTCCAGCTGTAAAAACATCTTACAATAGAACCACGTATCTAAAAGGTGACCAGAATATCACAGCTGAACAAAGTAGACTGAACCACACACTTTTTGACATGAGCCACTGTTATACTGATTTTAATAACCAAAGAATGAATCCATAAACTTAAACTCCATAAACTATTTACATATTCATATATATATATTTACAAAACATTTATAAATTAATAGATTTGACAGTGAAGTGCATCATTTTCTTGAGTTTTGAGACGGCTGTATGTCAGTTTAGCTTAAAACGGTAATTAATCTTATAAAATGTTTCCATGCAGAACACAGTCCAGTCTGTTTGCCATTATCTGTAGTACAGTGCCATGAAAGGTGTGTGTGAGAGGTGAACACCACCAGTTGCACAGGACACCCCCAGTCCAGCTTGACTGCAGCCCAGGACCAAGCCCAGCTCCATAGCAGGCAGTGTGTCAGCACCGCCATCCTCCCACCCGTCCCCATCGGTGTCCTGCAGAGCATTAGGAGCAGGCCTCTCTCCTGGTGGACCCCCCCTGGAAGAGAGCACCACTTGCCGCATGTTCACCAAGTTGGGACCGCCTCTGGCACCTCCTGCCGCCTCCTGCAGATTCTGGAAAAGGAACAGCAGGTCCACTCTCAGCTCCACCATGTTACCCCGTGACCGCAAACTATACCTAAAGGACGTGAGGGAAAACGGGATTAGAACCAGGTCTGACATGCACAAAGGCAATCAGTTCAACATGTCGTCTTTTAAAGGCCTTCACACTGAGTAAAAGTAAGAATCATGTTGAGAGTGGGGTGTTGACCTTGTAGCGAGGTTGCGCTTTGCCATTGTTGGAAACACAAGCTGGATGTGCAGATGCTGAGGGTTGGAAAGTTGGAGGTGAAGCTCAGCCTTCATAACTGTCAATGATAAAATCTCCCTGGTGAAGAGAAACTCCACATCTGTGTCTGAGGAGGAGGAAGTGGAGAGAAAACACTTAACAGTCTGTCAGTCACAGTACAGTTCAAGTCTGAGCAATTCATGCCACAGAGCAGCACATACACCTTCAGGCAAGCTCTTTTTCTGACAAATCCCAGGAGTTAAAAGAATTTTCCATCACAGAGGTGATGTTTTCGCTCCTAATACCTTGTTAATGTGGCAGCAGGATATCTCAGCAATTCTTGTCAGGGACATTAAGCCAGCTAAAGACTCATTTACATGCAGATAACGCAGCCCTCTATACAGCTGTGTTAACCAAGCTATTACCTTCCTCTAAATTGCTTTTCAAACTTTCACTCCAGCACTGCAAAAGTTAGAGAACATTTCTCCAGTGTCACTATTAAATTACCAGATGGCCTGGAAGTCAAGAAGGGAATTCAAGTGAATTTGATGAGGCTTTATGAGCAAGGCTGTTTTTCTCCCAATTAAACATATAAAATGTTTTCATGCAGAACACAGCCTAGTAGAGATTGCTTTTATATATAATTTTTTGTCCCATGCAGATTTGTATGCCTTGGATACCAAAACTAATCTACATATTTCATGGTCAACCTATATTTAAGCAATGGCAATCATGTGCTTGGATGTAACAATAAGGTGAAGAAGTGTTTTCCACTGTTGGTGCTTTGCAGTGTGGAAGGTCCTTGACCTGGCCTTGTGGAGACATCACCTTTAGTTTCAGTAGCTATTTTCACATATTGCATTTTGCTACATTTAGTCGAATTAACATGAAAATAACTGATCTGATTTCCTAGCTGAGCTCTGTAGCCCCTCCGGGCCCGTGCGCCTCTTTGTACCCTAGACCAACTCAACACAGCCATCGAGTTTAAGAGCTGCATTTTAAGCAAACTGTTAAAACAAGGGTTGTCGCTTGATCTACCTTGTCTTACCTGCTCTCAGGCGACCTTGAATCCCTTTGACGCTTCTGCAGTGTAGTCCTTCCTGACAGCAGTGGTAAACCTGTCGGACAAAGCTGAAAAGAGGCTTTTCTGGGAAGACCGGGCCCTGTGAAGCTCTTGGGGAAAAGGGTCGAACACGGAGATGCAACACTGTTGCATTATCCTCAGGAACTTGTTGCGCGTTTTCAAGCAAAGGTGCCGCCAGCTCTGCGCACCGCTCCCGGTGCTTCTCCGCCATCCCGCGTCTCCATCGCCTCAACGCGTCTGTGCGTAAAGTTAATCCGAGGGATTCATCAGCAGTTTTCGGCGAATGTGATGGAACTCCTTGCGTGTTCACCGCGCGACCAAATACTCCAGTGTCAACTGTCATCATCGAGAGAAAAAATGGAGCGATCCAAACGCAGTGAGAGGCGACCATGGTAATATTTCTATATTCTTAACTCTGTGTCTTCAGTGGTGAGTAAGCAGCTTCTCTGTGGTGCCAACTCTCCAAACTCGGCCTGCTATATACCCCACTAACAATGGGGACATCTTACCACTTAGAATTTGAATCCTGACCCTCTCTTCAGTCCCTGCCCCTTTTTTGTTCGTGCCTTTAGGCACCCATTGTCGCCCCCCCCGCTGCTTTCTTTCTATGCGCCTGCATAATAAGGCGCCCCAGAGAGCGCCGACCAGTCCATTCTAATTCAGCTACTCAGCTAATGACTCCAATTACTCCGTATTGGGATCATTAGGAACGGTCTTATTTACAACGATGCAGCAAAAAAAAAAACCTGATATTTTCTGAGCAAAGCGTTGCGCACGTCCTCTTTCGGGTGGTTTTAACCATTTAGAAACATGCGAAGGCTGAGGTGTAAAACAATGGGGGCCAGATTACAGGATCACATGCAGGCTGCTGACGGCCCTAATAAGGCAGTGCTTGTGTATTTAAACAAGTCTTTATAAAAGTCACACAAGACAAAAACCCGAGAGGATCATGTGTTGATTTAATTTCCACTGATGATGCAGTACAATATACCACAGTGAATCTGTTCAGCAAAGGATCCAACACAGAAAACCTTTTAACAAATGACACTTTCAAGGGAACTACACTAAAACAGCACTTTTTGGCTACCAAAAAGTCGATTTGAAATAAACTGAAATTGTTTTTATTAAAGTTTTTAGAAACGTGTACCATTAAGCCATTACAGTAAGTGCTGTGACAACAAGCATGATACTGTACAAATACACTAAGTTAAATATAATTATTTAATGTTGCTTTAGTCAATTTTCTATTAAATGAAACATTTGCTGCAATGATGTGACTTAACAGAAACAACTGAGGTGAAAATGCTGTAAAATGTGTGAACAGCAGCTTAACATGACCAAACTAATATAAGATATAAAAGTTAACATTTTGAACAATTTGTGCTCAAACAATGGAGAAAACTAAAGCTGTGAATACAGCTCATTGTAAATATAATTGATTCAACCTTTGCCAACCGTTCTCCAGTAAATTCAGCATTTTGATACAAATTTTAAAGTTTGTAACATCAGCACCTAAAAAAACAGAGTAAGCTTTAAACTGTATCTGCAAATTTTCTTAGTTGACTAAGTTTACTTACAGGACAGTTCTTCTCTTTAACATAACAGTGCTATTTTGTCAGAACAGGTGGACTCCGTGTTTCAGTAGCTTGTGTCGGGCCTTGGTGGGCAGTGAGAAAGCACTATCCTGGTAGTATGGGATGCCTGAGTTCCTCAGTGATCCTCCATGCACCTGGAAGTAAGTCTCCTGGGCCACGCTTCTGGTTCCATACACAGCAGAACTGGCACTCCTGTGGTGAAAATGTCACAGTGATGACATACAACAGAAAAGAGCTAGGTGACTTGATAAAGAGAGCACAGAGAAACAACAGAAAGCGTTGCTTTTCCAGTAAATGTGACTTGCTAGAGTGTGACTTCTGCAAGTAGAGGTGGAACATTTAGGGTTAGTGGTCAGGAACAGTCACAAGAAGTGACAACCCCCATCCCCAACTTGTACTTGAGGAGCTGTGAAAGGCACGAGAATACCCCCGAGCCATCACGTCACTGCCGTACTGACCTGATAATAGCCTCCTGCAGAGTTTCAGTGTTACAGAAATGCAAGTGAAGAAGTGATGTGGCTCGGACAAAAGGATGCTCTGGGGCTCCCCGTGGTCGGCCAGACAGGTTGGCTGCAGACACACACAATAACAGTGGCATGTTAACCTGGACAGTCATGTCTGCAGCACAAAGGAATGCTGATCATAGGCTTACTAATTAGTCCTTAGCTCATGCAAGGACAAATACAAAACTACACCCCACCCAAAGAGAGTAAAAAGAGATATGTGGGAGTATAAGGGGGCTTACTTGTCAGTGTGCTCTGAATGCAGTCAAAATGGGCAAAGATGTAGAAATCTGGACTGTCTGGGGCCCCTGGAAAGATGGCCCTCAGATGGGCCTCCAGTCCATTCAGAGACGCCAGGCTGCTGTAATACTAGAAACATAAAAGCAGAGCTGATTGGCCGAAAAAACTGTTATAAGCACTGCAAAGACAAATTAGTGAGCTCATGTAGCTATAAACTTAAGGAACTGACTTAATGCCTTTTTTGTGCCTTAGTCTAATGAATTCCAGCTACTGCAGTAGTAGACACTGTGAAGCATTACATTAACTGGGTCATGAAGCTTCTTTTAGCTCCACTTGACAAGAAAACTAACTTTCAAACCTTCAATGTGGTAATGTGTAAAATATTAGAGAAGTCAGTTATTTCAAAGGTTGCTTTTGTTTCTCACCACTTCCTCTGTAGAAGCTGTGTCACTCAAAAAGTGAGGCTCCACCAGCAGAGCCAGTACCAAGCCTTTAACCCGGTGCAGGTACAGCGTCATGGGGATCAGTGTACTCTCCTCTGGGCCGTCAAAAGCACCAGAGTGAGGAGGAGGCTCTTGCTCTGGCTTGTGTCCTTGTGCGCCCTCACTGCCAACTCTATCTCTCACCACCATGTGAGCATCATGTGATTCCTCATTCCCAGACTCAACTCCTCTGAAGCGAAACACTCTGTCACAAGCCGCGTCTCCATCTCCTCCATCCCCACTAATGTGGGAGTTTTCTTCAAACACTGAGCCATCTCCTTCGCTGTGTATCCAACTGTCCCCACCTCCTTCGCTGTGAAAGCTGTAATAATGTGATTCCTCCTCAGCTTCATCTGAGCGTTTTCCATTTGAAGAAGGAGGCTTGAGGCGCTGTGGTGGGGGGTGTGGTGTGGCAATGGTGGTCTGTGATGGAACTGGGCTAAACATGAGGTTATCTGATTCTGACAAGCAAGAGCTGAAGGAGACTTTCTGGGGTGGCCAGGAGGAATTCGGATCAAAGGAATCTGACACTGTGAAAGCCATGTCAGATAAGGTTCGTGACAGACGGGTCTTCTTTGGGGAAGCGTCGTTGTGTGGAGTAGAGTGGGAACTGGAGGGTGGAGGGAGATAGAATTCTCCTGAAATGTTACTCAAGTATACTGTTTTGAGTAGCTTTTGTAAGTTAAATACTTTCTATAAACAAAATAACTGAATCTTGGGAAAGGAAGCCGCTACCTGAAATCTTTGTCGACCGGAACAGACTGCAGGTACTGGAGTTCAGACATAGTCAGGAACACTGCAGTGGAGCTGACGGTGCTGCCAAATGAGCTGGAGGTGCTTGGTCCATTGGGCCTCTGAGCCTAAATCAAAATAGAACCTTTTCTTTAAAAGGAATGTTTTGGAAATATGCTTATTTGCACTCTTGCTGAGAGATAGGTGAAAAAATTGATATAACCCTCATGTTTGTACACTAAATATGAAGCTGGACCTCTGAGCTGTTTTGTACTTTGTCTATATAATTTCCTTGAAGAGGGTGGAATGGAATACTTGGTCAACATACTGTTAATAGCAAGTACAATTACAATTGTACTATTACAAGAAACTGGACAAAGGTAGCACCACCGAAAAGGACCAATAGCTAACACTTGCTGAAGAAATGTTCTTGTTGGAAAAACTGACACATATCTTGAGGCCACAAAAAGCACAAGTGGAAGGAAAATGTGGAAAATGGACATTATACAGGAGTCAAAATGACAACAGAACACAAGTCCAAATTAATCCATTGGACACAGTGTAAAGGACAAACCATCTACCCATTCTGTGTTTGTTACTGTAATTGTCTGTTGGCAAAAAAAAAAATGTGAAAAACATTAAGCTGGAGCCAGCAGTTGGCTAGCTTAGCATAGCATAAAGACTAGCAACAGGGAGAAACAACTAGCCTGGCTCTGTTCATAGGTAATAGAATCTGTCTGGGATGAACTCTTAAAAAAGTAGAAAGCAGTCTAGCACATTACCTTTGTAAAATGGCAAATAGTTGTTTTTATACTTTGGTTTTTGTACAGATAAACAAACAAGAAACAGTGTTGATTAATGAGCTTTAGAGGGCTATCTGTTTCCCCTTTTTGCAAGTCTTTGTGCTAAGCTAAGCTAACAGGCTCCTGGCTCCAGCTCCAAATGTCAGTGGCATCAATCTTCTCAGGTAACTGTCAGCAAGAAAGGGGATTAGCTTATTTTCGAAATGTTGAACAACTTTATTAAATCCCCTCCTGTTACTTTATGACAGTGTCTGAGGGAAACACTGGTTACTAAAGTGGGTTTCAAAGACACTGTGTGGCCTTTTAACAAGTGGGTTGGAAAGTGGGTCCCAGGGTGACACCGGCTGAGAAACACTGTTTTAAAAGATCGTGGGCTAGTTCTCAGAAAATAAAAGGTTTATTGTTGCAGTTCTTCAGTTTAATAAATGATAAGTTAGTGCAAGATAATGTAAAATAATGACAACTTTTTAGACTAGTGATTAGTTTACTCTTGACAGTATATTATACACCAGTGCTCTAATGCAGATCTGTCTGGGGGCCCTTGGTAAGAAAAGTTTTAAAGTTTAACATCTGGACAAAATTTCATGTCATACCTTGGTGTATGTTTCACTCTCATGCACCATGACCTTCATTGTGAGCTTTGGAGACATTTGTGTGCTTACAACCCTGCAGAGAAAAAGGCAGAAAAGTCTGGTGTTGGACCATGTTTAGAAAAAACTATCTCACTAAGGGGTGGATATTATCAACATGACAGCCTACCTTCCTCTGAAAAGAATACAGCCTGCTAACACGGGAGGGCAGCGCTGACAGGTCTGAAGTATGAGAGCAGCTTTGAGCAGCAGAAGTGGGTCAACCTGAGAACAAAAAATGTATTTGTGTCTTCAGTTTCTAAGCACATAAAGTGAGAAGTGATACAGACGGGTGACAAATTAAAGGAAAACCCTTTCTGTTATAGCTTGCACTACTGTCACTGACTGTACATGGTTTTTTTTTTTTTTAGTCATAGCCTATTGGTTGTACCATTGTTATCCTAATAACTTTTAATCCTGTTTCTTATTCTATTTTATTCCACTTTTATTCTATTTAAGTTCCTAAATGGCATGACACTCAATACTAGGTGAGAGAGAAACGGTATTTCAATTTTCTGTACGTCCTGCACATATAGTGAATTGACAATAAAAATCTTTGAACCTTGACTAAATGAACAGTCTCTTCCAGGATGACAGTACCCCCATCTACAGGGGGCATAAGAGGGAATATCTTTAGGAAGAATGGTGTTCATGCTTCCAGTAGAGTTCAGAGACTTGGAGAGTCAATGCCAAGGAGCACTGAAGCTGTTCTGGTGGCAGTGTGGTGGCCCAGCACCTCACTGAGACACTTTATGTTGGGCTGTCCTTTCATTTGTCACCTGTCTGTATATACTGTATTAAGATACAATATAATAACTTTATAACTTCAGTCATTATACCAAGACACTTGTGAATATTGGAATATGATTATTTAAGTGGTTAGATCCTCTATGGCATCATGTAACAGACTTGTCTCAAACAAAGGGATTTGATAAAATGTGCATTTTGTACATTTTCATTTAACTTTTTAAGTGGCTATCCAAAAATACCCAGTATTTACGGGCATTTAGTTGAGAGCTTGCACACAAATGTATCTTCTAGGTACATTAATAAGCAGAGTCTTTATTGTGAGAGTTTACACAATACCACAGGACATTGTGACATAGTCATAGGCTGTCTGTAAGCAGAAGCAGCATTAGAAATGTCACTGCACGTAAAATGCAGAATTCTCACAACAGTTTGTACATACTTTAGCTGAGTCAATGGTCCTCAAGCAGCTGAAGATGTGCTGAAGCTCGGAGGAGCCTGACCGCAAGTGGGAGAGGTACTGCGCCCATCGAGCAGCCAAAGATTCCCGACTGTTAAGCTACAGCACAAAACAAAGTTCAAATCACAATTCGCAGGGATACACATTATATGTCTAGCTTTAAAAACTGTCATGCATTTTTATAATGCATATCATTTTGAATTTCATTCTGATCCTCCCATAAAAACATTTAATGTGCTGGACAAAAAGGCCCCTGGTTTGATACTGAATTATCTCCTTGTTTCTCTTTTACTGTGATTTTGACTGTGAGCTTAGACTGCACCTGGTAGCTCTGTCGGACAGAGCCATTGTAGAAACAAAAAAGGTTTATTAGCTGATCCAGAAGCTCACAGATGCTGATGGTTGGGACTTCCACAGAGCAGCCCAGAGCCTGGGAGGAAAAAAGAAACATATCCCCAACAACAACCTATCAAAGACTCATATTCAAGCCAAAATACAGACAACACACATCTTGAAAAGTTGCTGCCAGACCACCCGTGGATGCACTCACCCAAAAGAAGTTATCTCTCATACGGATGGCAAATGTATTGCGGTGTAGCCTCAGTGAACATACAGGCGAAGAGGAAAGCTCAGAGACACACTGGACCACGCCAGCAAGCTGTCCACACAGCAGCTCCTGCTTATCTACAGGGGTCTTACAGAAACATAGAGGGAATTATTCAGAACTGATGTCTGTGGATTAAAATATAAACACACAAACATAACCATACTCATCAAAGATCCACCCACAACACAAACAAATATACAAATTGCAGCAGTTTGTGAGAGACAGACCTCTTCAGGATAGAAGTAGCATATTCCTTCTCTTGTGGGGTCACCCTCTCCTCTGACCTTGGATTCATCATAGAGGAAGAAATAAGTACACCTGCAAAATAAATACACAAATGTCTAAACTCTCTTTTCAGTGGATGATAAGCAGTCAGAATTGTTAGGCTTCAGAGTGATGTATATGGGTCCCATAGAGTAACAGAGTTTGTACTCAGTCAGTGATGTTGTCTTCCATCCATTTATTCATGTGATTTGCAAGAAAAGATACATGTCAGTTGCTGTTGTGATGCTCCATCACATGATGTTCCAGCCGTAACTGAATGGATTCTGTGAATGGCTAATTACTTAAATGTGCATTTGGGGGGTAACGAGATGTGGTGATATTAAAACATGACGATATTTCTCGTTAAGGTAAAAGCTGTCTTACAATATCAGTACATAGTAGAACCAGAGCACCAGCCGAGTGTGACGCTATGTTAATATTATTAGTCAAGCAAAAATACAATTCCCTGCTGTGTTTTAATGCAGGGGGCAGTGTTGATTGGGAGGGTGATGGGTTGTGGGGGAGTATTGTAGGCATGTACTATGTGGACACAGTGGCTTTATTCACTTATTCACATTTCCATTGTGTTTTGGTTTGCCATGCTGCCAACAAAGCCTACTCTACCTTAGCACCAATTGTACCACCAGTGTGCTGGCACTGATGGATAAAAAATAGCAGTGAATGCTCATGCTAACGAGGTAAACAAAAGAGTCCTCTTCCCATGGATGTCCACTTCCGGACACAGCACCTTTGCCGGATGATGTCACCTCCAGTGCTGAAAATAGCACAGAAGGTCACACACAGCTTCAATTAGTAGCTAGAAGCTGATGAGACTCATTAGAAATCCTACAGGAGAGGAGCCTGTCAGCTGTGTTGGTGGAAAAACCTTTCACAGTGCTTGTGTATTGTTGTCTTTTACTGCATATAATCCATACTCAGAAAGTAGAACTGAAGTGACAGTCTTTACATTAGTTAAAACATTTCAAAATGCACTGGCACCGTTTTGCTTTTTTCTTTTTTTTTTTTACTTTCAGTCGAATAAAAGACTATTTTTCCAGTCATATATTTCGTCATTGAAGATTTCCTTAAAAAGTGTTGAAGTATCGTCTCGTATCGTTCTCGTGAACCCAATATCGTGTCTGGTCTCATCTCATGAACTAAGTGTATTGACATACCCCAAATGTATATGTCAGTATTAAATGGTGTCATCTCAGCTGAGGATCTGATCGGAGGTTTCACTTCACCACCTAGTGATCTGAGAAGGCTAATAATCGGCTCGCCAACTTATTTCTGCGGTAAAACTGGAAGCAGGCTTTTACCTTCTTGAGTCTGGCGACATTAGCTCAGCCATCACTGACGCAAAGTCCAGACAAATCGATACGTTTCTCACTCATCAGTCTTCTGGTATCCGTGTATTTCTAGTCCAACAAGCTGTAGATGCGAGTTTTGTCCAAAAAAAAAAAAAAAAAAAAGTAAAGGGGAGTGTTTCAGCTGCGACTCCGGGACATTTATTTCAAATCCTACGCCACAAACAAACAAAATGCCAGCTGCCCGCTACACTTAGCATCAACAGCTGGGCCTATTAGGCTACAACTGTGAGTTTTTTATCACCGTTTATAATCTAATATGAGGAATGTAGGACAGCCACAAGTAGTGGAAGTCATGTGAAAGTACGGCAAGCTTACAAGGACAAACTAGTGCGCCATTGACAGACACGCAACAAGTCGCGCTAGACTGCAGGGGGCATTAATTAAGGTTAAATTACAAGGATACTTATCAGACTGGCTTTTGGGACTTAATTTATAGCAGTGGCGCTATACAGGTGCCTACAGGCTTTCTGATTCTGTAATCTTATTCTGTTTATACTTTGACACATTTTTATTGTACAGGAATTTTATAGTTGCCTACAGACCTCAGTTTCAATTTTTTGTAATTTTAACATGTTTTTCTTTTCTTTAGTTTATGTCTTAACATGTTCTGCTTTTAATTTTAATATGTTTTGCTGTGAAGCAATTTGAGCAACCTTGGGCATTGTAAGGCACTATATAAACAAATGCATTAAATTAAATTTAATTACATTATTTTACTAAGCAAAGTACTTAGTGAGAATGTCAGTGCTTTAGATAAGGTCCATTACAAGTATAAGTCCTGCATTCATAGTGTTACTTAAGTAGATATACAGTGTGTTTTAATGTATTAAGATACTGTGCAAGTAGGCTGTAGCTTTAACTACTTTATTGCCTATATGAAATTGATCATATTTTATAAAACTATTGGTTACTGCAATAGCAGGCTATAAATGATTGATCTCCAGAGTATATTATTATGGTGGTTGTTGTTAGCAGTAGTAGCAGCAGCAGCAGCAGCAGTAGTAGTAGTAGTAGTAGTAGTAGTGAACTACTGTAGGCTATAATGCTTGGCAAGTCATCTTTAGCATCTTAGCACTAATAATCATAGCTACAACAGCAGAGGTTCAGAAGGTTTCAGCTGTTCACTATCTGTAAGCTCATTTTTCATCAACGTCTGAATGTTGTTTGACAGAGGCTTCATATTCTTACAACATCAACACAGCATTTATTTTGGAAAGTACTTCTGCAACATCTAAAAATGTTTCATCCCTGTCCTGGAGAGAAATGCTCCATTTGCAACTGCTGAGGCTGCAAGAAAAAAGATACCGAAGATATGAATTTTGATTGTAATAAATAAAGGTGGACTATGTGGAGGTAGGATCAGCAATTCCGTGCATTATTGCTGTAAAGTTCCGTTAACCTGAAAGAGGAGATAAGTGCCTCAACCTTCATCCTTCAAACGCAACTATGCATATGCGCACACGCTGCAATTAAAGAAATCCTGCAAACAAAATTGAGCATATTTTCATAATTCAAATTATAAAAGGCTAGGGAAGCGCAACCACGTTATATTCGTGTCCCATTAACCTATATATGATGGCGTGAAAACAAAGCTTCATTGTAGGTTTCTTCCCATTGGATCCATGATGAATCTCATTTTCTGTGCTCGATTGCTGATGGCTTGAGAAGTCGGCCATGAACGCGCACAGCTCTGTCCGCCAACTGGACTCAGATGCACAGTACACGATTTTATAGATATGTCGCACCCGTTCATAAGCCAGGATTCAAGCATATATCCTAGATCGACTCTTCTGTTGGAGGAAAAATGTGTGTTCCTAATAAGGCGACAGTCAGCCCGCCATTTTGTACAAACCTGTGTGCATGAGTGCAGAGCACCGTGCGCTGGATTCCTCTGTGACAGTAGCTGCCGGGGAATACTTTGGATGTGCACACCGAGAAGTGGTCACCGTGGCATTTAGTTCATGTTCATAGTTTGGCAGCACAGGTTACAGAATAACAAATATGTGCATACATGTTGAAATATTGTGAGCGTCTACGTCATCAAACAAGAATAATGCATACTAATACACAATGAATAATAACTAACTTTTAAAACCGAGTGCTTTTAATCCTTTTCTTTACAGACAAATGAAATAGAAAGGCAAAACTGGTCAGCGTATGTGACAGCTGAAAACATAAAAATATATCAGATACATAAATGAATTAAAGAATGACCTTTTCTTTTTGCATTTAAAGGAGGACAGTGCCATGACTTAGAGCTGCAATGCCATTTCTAATGCAAAGTGTAACGTAATCTGTGCTGCTGTTTTCACTTTACACATTTTATTACAAATATTAAAGCAAACTCAGGTGGAGTTGGCCACAGTGAGTCTAAATCCTAGAGATAAGACAACCAAGAAATGGTCTTGACTGGTCAGACCTCAGTAGTAAAATCAGGTTTTGTAGTATTGCAACTTATATTTTCAAAGCTGCCTATCTAACCTCTTTGTTATTAATTATACATATGCTTAAATACCCTACATTTCAGCTTTACAATAGTTATTGTATCAGCAGTGAAGTCCTACAAGTTCCTGGGCTCCACTCTCTCCCAGGACCTGAAGTGGACGTCCAACATCAGCACAATCACCAGGAAGGCACAGCAGAGGATGTACTTCCTGCGCCAGCTCAGGAAGTTCGAGATGCCCCAGGAGCTGCTGATACAGTTCTACAGAGGAATCGTCGAGTCTGTTCTCTGCACCTCCATCACTGTCTGGTTTGGCTCAGCAACCAAACAGGACAAGTACAGACTTCAGTGGACAGTCAGGACTGCAGGAAGAATCATCAGTGCCAGCCTGCTCTCCATGGAGGACCTGTACACCTCATGGGTCAAAAGGAGGGCGGAGAGGATCACTGCTGACCCCTCACATCCTGGACACAAACTGTTTGACCTCCTCCCCTCTGGACGGCGTTACAGGTCACTGTACACCAAGACAACCAGGCACAGGGACAGTTTCTTCCCCCAGGCCGTCACACTGATGAACACTTAACCAACAGTATGACTGGACAATAACCCTCAGTGCAACACCTCATACAGATTATACAGATCCACACAGGTCTCTAGTTTTAAGTACTCTATTTTTATTCCTACTTATCCCATTTCACAATGAGCATTCCTTTGTCTGTCTGCATTGTTTACTGCCTGTTTATACAGTTTATTTTGCATCGTTTGCCCTGGTTGTTGCTTGTTAATGTTGCTTATTTTGTTATATTATACAGCCTTACGCTGCTTTACTGTTTACTTGCCCCTTGCATGGGGACATGTACATACACATGAGAACCGCTGTACCAGAGTCAAATTCCTCGTGTGTCTAACACACCTGGCCAATAAAGCAGATTCTGATTCTGTAAGATGAGGCAATTTTGAATAATTTAATGTTTTTGTGATATTGAACAAGGGTGTACTCAGTTTTGCGGTAACTGTAAAAATATTGCTTTAACATATTCTAATAGTAAGATAACACTGGGATTACTTTACGTGGTCACATCAGCTGCTTATCAAGTAATAAGATTTCTTTTTCCAGCTTCCTCATTTTAAGCGCTCTGTAAGCCATCTGCTGGTCACGGTTCTCTATCTCCTTTTTGAGGTAACAGCAGTAAAGAGCTCTTATGTCCTCTGTCCGCCTCTGTAAAAGAAATTAAACATGTGTGCTCATTTTGATCTTACTCCTTGTCATTACCATGGCCCACTACTGGCACATGAATCTCACCTCTGCACGTCTGATGTCGGGTGTAGCAGGTGGCGAGGTAGCCCTCTCCTGCAAGCTGCTACTACGCACATACTACAGAAAATAACCAAGTACATACGTTAAACATTTAAAGACAAATGCTTCAAAAAACATGCACATTTAGAAGCACTTACCCCTTCAAAATGTGCATCACTGACATCTGTGCCATCACTGCTCAAGCTCTCTGGTTCAGTTTTTGTTACAGGCAGGAGGAGAACAGGATGGCCTGACACTGTGGTGATGGGGCCAAGATTACATTAAGCTAAGTGGTAAATTCCAGATGGACTTTAATGAGAGATTAACTTCACCTACCACTAATAAAAGAGCTTTCAGATCCAGTCAGTTGCTCAATACAGGCACCCCCAGGGAGGACCTCCACTCTCAGCCTGTTGTCATTGTGCTGTGACACATTCTCCTCCACAGGGGCCAGTGACGGTGTTGCTGACCCATCCTCACTTCTCATCACTTCAGCCCTTCTTCTTTTTGCTGGATATGGATAGATCAGAGAGGTAAAACACTCTCCTGGCCATTAAAGCCCTTCAGTGAAAACAGAGTTGCAATAACAAGGCTACCTGTTTGCACTATGTTTTTATGTTTGACTTTCACTTGCTGCCATGTCCGTTTGTAGCCACTGTCCGACACCCTGGGAAGTCATTAAAAAAAACGTCAGTAAAAACATTTGAAGAAAGTTCAACTGTCCGAGTGTAGGCTATTAGAAATTAAGTTCAGTTATTCACACTTGACTTGCGTTGTCTTACGCATTTATCTTATCAGCAATTCTCTGCCATGCTTCCTCTCTCAGTTTAGAGGCGCTGGTAGTGTTGGATTTGGCTGTTAATATCCCTCTCTCTTCTTCATACAACTTCAAAATGAGATCCTGCTCTTTAGAACTGAAAAAATGTGCCCTCTCTTGTTTTTTCATCATCTGGAAATCTATAAAAACACAAAAATAAAGGAAACGTACACGTAAATTCGTGCAAGTCAAACAAAAAGTGTGCTTTTGTATAGTTTACACTGTCGCATGAACAACGTATCCTCACCTGTGTGTTCATAAACTGCGATCCGGGTTTCAGCGTGCGACTGATCTTCCCTTTATGGTGGAGCGGGTGCGCGCAGTTATCCGAGATGTTTCAATGCTAGATTTAGTAATCAAATCGTAACCCGCGGTCGTGAGACGCAGTAAACCCCAGGTTAATCAGTGCGGTAGTTTGCTACGGTATGCGTCACATCACAAAAATTGTCTAGGCGACAAGAACGAGGACAAGATAACCGGTATCCCGAAGCTGAATATCGACAAGCTTTGTCAACCCTGGATTTTGTTATTCGGCTTAAAGCGCGTTCATGTGAGAGGTGGAGTCTTTAGCCAAGAGTAAGTCACGTGGCTCAGGTCCGGCGCATCAAACCAGATTATATATTGTTATTCCCTGATTCCATATGGGGAATTTCATGCAATAGATAGGTAAAATAACAGACAAGGACATAACTATACAAATTTTAAAAGGTGCAGAATATTGTATTTTTAATGTTTAGCCAGCTGTTACATCTTTCGGAGATCAAGCAACCTGGGCTAGGCTTCAGAGGTGTAAGACAGATTGGACAAAAAGAAAACTGGCTGAATTCTATTCTGCTTTGGTCTACACATGTCCGATCACTGAGATGCTTGAATTTAACAGAGCCATTTTATTTATACCTGTGCTTTTTCTCCATGTCTTATAAAAATATGTTGTTGAAGCATCCTGTTTTACTTAACAGTTTTTGCCTTAACTGTTCTGACCTTACAAAGTGTACATTTTTTATAAAGATCAATAAAACTGAAAATGAATCACACCATCCAATATGATGATGTGAGTGTCACAGTTGGGCATGTGCTATTTGCACAGAGAAGCACTTTATGAAAGCAGATGTGTGAGTGAACCAAGGATGTGCAGGGCCTTTAAATATCTATCATTTTAATTAAATTTAGTCATATTCAAGTGAATGTAAAGCTGAGATTCCCTTAGCATGTTAAGCAACTTAACTATAGTACACTAGCACATAGGCCTTTTTTCACAGCTGGCATTTTAACTTGTCAGAGTAAGAAAAACATAAGCATTTCTAATAACATTATCACAGGCAGTGATACAAGCCACTGCCACAGTGAGGCAGTGGCTTGCTCAATACCATGACCCTGAAACTGAAGTCTAAAGCTACCATGATTCTTCATTTTATAAATATGTTTTTCCTACTGATGCCTTCTGTGAAACAAAACAAAACAAAAAAGTTATTCGAATAAATACCTGGAAAACCCTAAATTCAAAGTACATGACATCAACACAGATGAAATACAACATAAGCTGAGGTAATAACAGCTACTTTATTTGTGTTAATTCAGTTTAAGTGGACATTTTGTTTAATGGTCCAGAGCAAAGGAAATGTTGTTTCAGGTGCTCTGTGTTGAGAGCACAGAGGTAAACACAAAAATGAAAAAAGTAAACTATGAACGGGAGTGTGGTCCTGTAACATACACTAACTGGTCCCTGCACCAGTTATGAGGTCTGGAGTGAGGGTTTACTCATGGCTCTCATAGCCACCAGGCAATGCATTCACATGTGGGTTGTGGAAAAGGGTTTTGTTGCCATCTCCCCAAGGAAAACGCTGAGAGGAAAAAAGGACAAGACATAATTAAGTCAAAATACTGATAAATCCTGAAATGACATTTTGAAATGTGAATTATTTAAGCTACATAAAGAGAGACCTTTGAGCGAATGCGAAGATGAGAATAGGGGACGAACTCTGGCTGCTCATGGCTATGATGCTGCGCTTTCAGGAACGTGTTCAACATGCACACCCCAACACCAGGAAGGGCAACCAGGAAAGTCAGCATCTTCCATGTCTTGGCTGGAAGAGACAGGAAATGCTAGGTTTAATGAACAAAATGATTATACAAATATACATCCAGACAACACTAGGGCTGCTGAGAATTAAGTGCTGTTTAGACACACAATTCAAAACGTTTCCTCAAATTGATATGAATGATATGAATCTGCACCCAGCCAGTTGTATATCTGGTTGTGAGATCCTGTGCTACTACGCAGTTTGTGCTCTTCTGTCTGACTAAAATTAATTGTAGGATACCACCAGCTCACGTCACTTTTAAGTTACACATACTGTAGCTTTATACAGAGGGAAAAAATGCTTAAAACAGCCTTTTCAATTTCTTTTATTATGTAAATTAATAAACCCATATGTAGCTTGTAAAAGCCAGGCTGTCAAGGTGATGGAAATTTAAATGGCCTAATACTTGTATAGAGCTTTTCTATGCATTGCAGCACCATCAAAGCCCTTTCACACCCATTCACACACCAGTGATATCACTGGGAGCAGTGTCTTGCTCAAGGATACTTCCACATGTGGACTGGAGAAGCTCGGAATCAAACCGCCAACCTTCTGGTTAGACGACCCACAGCTGCCACCTTTATTTATAATTTGATACAAATTGGGGAATAACAGAGTATGAAATGCCACTAATGTTAAGTCCTCAAGAGTACCTGGCTGCAGACAAGTTGGCGGACTGACGACCTTGACCAGGAGTTCGGACTGGCAACCTCTATTTTTTCTTCTCCCCCCCCAAAAACTTAATTAGAACTTTATTTGGACTGGTGACCTCAACAGTTAATGTTTTCTCCCTTTTTTTCTTATCCTTATTTTAAAATGTTACAACAATTAATTTCTTTTAAATCTTCATTTGAAATAATTAAAATGATTATTACATCTACTTTGGACATTTAATAATCTAAATTTAGAGCTTGCATTAGCAAAATGAAACTTCACACAAGGTGTAGCATTTCAGACTTCACAAGATGTTTAGAAAGTTGCACTTGCTATTTTTTACCTGTTAAGCCTAATTACAAATTGTGTGCTATAAGTAAGAGGCACAATACTGGCCAATCCAAAACCATTAAGAGCAGCCCTGAACCAAAAGCTAAGTGAGTTTACTCTTCTTCTGGCAATACAGTGTAATCAAACACTTTAGCTGCATCCCTGCTCCCCCAGCCACATCAACAATTTGTGTAAAAAGACCCATAACAATATCTGTATACTGTATGCATGCATGTAACAATAGCTCATTAAAGCTGAATTCAGTTTAACTATTTCACTGACTAGTTTTAAAAGGAAGTATTCAAACATTCTGTGGAGTAAAGAAAAAAAAACATCTATCACTTATGAGCCCACATTTCAGCACGTCTTTTATTTCTGAAAGAAGATGACTCCCTGTAGCGCAGCCTTTTCTGCTGCAAACCTGCTCATGACCTTGCAGTTCTGCAGAACATGCACACAAGGATTCATTTGCACAATATCTTACATAATTACACTAAAGGGTGAAGGTAGTAGAAAAATCTCAACATTACGCTTACAATTCAGCAGCACCGCATTCCAAAAGTGTCCCCAACATTACATTTAACTGGAATTTTAGACTCTTAGAAAAAGGCCAAAGACTACAAATCTAATCAAGTTGCACTAAAAGCTGAACTTAAAAATCATTAACCTATGAATAAACATGGACATTGGCACTCAGATGAAGTCACAGATTGTCCTCTTAATGTTACTTTTACATGTAATACTTAGCAAATTTACACTGTGTGAAAACCAGGAACAAATGTAGTATCAGGCTAGTCGCCAGTACGACAGACTTTACCTTCATCTTCCACAACTTCATGTTACTTTCAGCATCGCTGTATTAGCTTTACCTGGAGGACTCTTCCCTGCTTTGCTTGTTGCTGAAGATAATTCTGTTTTCACTGCCCGTGTAATAATTTTATTACACTTAACAAATGTGTAGTTGCCTGTTATTAGAGGTGGAGGAATAGCTGTAATTTCTGAGCAGCCTAAAGAACCTTTGGCCAAATTAATTACAGATGTAGGAATGACCTTTATCACAGGGTTTACTTGAGCAGCTCAAATGGGATAAAATAATGTTCATACACAGCTTCTAACAGAACTTGCTGCTGAATGTCTACAGCCTGGTGCCCTTCTCATTCATTGATCTGACGTGTTGCACTTCAGCTGTAGGACGTTTGGTTCATGTCAACGCTACACTTTCAAGCCATATAAATAACAGTAATGTAAACTGAAATTGCAGTAATATAAGCGCCCGTATTAACACTTCATAGTGACAGGCTGAATTGACAATTTAATGAGAGTGAAAGATGGTTCCGTTCAAAGATGCTATAGTGCTGCACGGCTAACGCTAGCTCAGCAAGGTCACTGTAAAAAACAAGGCTATCAAAAACATACATCGAGTTAAACACGCGAAACTACAGTTACCTGACTTTTCGCCATGTCCACCAGCAGCAGCAGCGGAAAGCTGACGCCGGACCTGAGTCAAGTAAGACCTCAGCAACATTTGAGAGACGCGTCCGAAAGCCGCCATTTTCCTTTCTAAGAGAAGCGGAGACCGGAAGAACAGAATAAACGTGTGTCACGTGGAGACGAGACCGGTGACCTCTACTGTGCCACCCAGCGGTACAGTTCAAGGGTATGGGGTAGTTTGTTTTCACTTGCAGGCGTACATTTTCAAACTTCCAATATGGATGAAAAAGAAATCAATTTGTGCCTCAGGTAAATAGGTCACAGATAAAAGAGAAAAGACTAACCCATACTTATTTATACCATACCTGCATTTGAAACATTATATTGTAATGGTTATAATGTTTAGCATCCAGTCACATGGTTCCACGTTATTGCCTGAAAGAATGAGAGAGGGGGGTGTGTGGGGATGAGAGAGCGAAGTGCAGGCCGTTGTTGTTGAATGATGGATGTTGGGAGTAAAGCGAGTGTTAACGTGTGCTGTGGCTGAAACAACAGCACTTAAGTTGTTGAGTGATTAAAGGACAGTAATAACGACAAGAATGTCTGGCTGTGTTTGTGTAGGAGCGGAGAGTATTACAATATAATGACATATAACAAGTAAATAACTAAGGTCCATTAAAAACATGTACCGCACTTGATATTCACAAGTGTTTCTCTTTAAAAGGGAGGACTTTATGCAGCCTCATGGTCAAAGTCTATCCAAAGAAATTCATAGTGACGGGAAGTTCGGATCATTTTACTGATTCGGTTCTTTGAATCTCGTTCAGCAAAATGAACAAATCTTTTTTCGAGTCATTTCGTTCACTTCAGCAGAATGTAATTAAAATGTTACGTGTTAATTCCCCATCTACTTACGCACATATTGATCAAGTTTCGAATAAGAAACAACTGTAATGCAGCCAAGGTCATATTATAAATAATATCATACCTGTGTCTAGAGGTTATGCAGTCTGTTACTTCACCACCTCACCTCCAGATATTTTGGGTAAAATTCGTTTGGTCTTTTGTCACGTAACATCCTAAGCTGCCGTGTCGTCTTCTGTATAGTATACAGAAAGATTTTCCTTGATGAAGTCTAAAGCATTAACCAACTCTTTATTAAAACATTCAGTGTTATGGAAAAGAACCATATTGACAAATATTCACAAAATTATAGTGTGTAGGAAATAAAAACCTATTTTATAATAAAAATAAATGCATCATGTAACAGTAAGAGTAAAAAAAAAACTGTAAGGACGGTTGAAAATAAACTAATTTCTGTATCCAACAAAGCGGTCATGTCACGTTACAAAAACGAACGACTTGAAACCGAGGACTCGAAAGGCGTACTAATCTTATGCGATGTTGCGCATGCGCGATCAACACAAAATGAACGAATCACTCCTCGAGACGACCCGATGTTCTGGAGTCATGAGAAAGAAAATGAACGAATCATTCGTGAACGACACATCACTAATTCAGAGATATTTTCATGTTGATGGTGATAAATGTTAACTTTACTAGCAGTCTGTTTGTTCTTTTAATGTCTAAGTAGTTAATTTCAACATTCATAGATTTCCATAACTATGTTGAAATGAGCTGAAAAAACTTAGAAAAAATTAACTGGACTAGATTTCTAGGTCGAAGACGTTTCACCTCTCATCCAAGAGGCTGCATCAGTTCTGACTGGTGTTGAGCCGGAGAGCATTATAGCATTAATCTCTTTACCATGTATGCTCAAATGACACCATGAATTAAACGTTGAATAGTCAAGATATCAACAAAGTAAATATTTATCATAGTTTAATTTAATAAGTTAAGAAAACTGTGCAGCATATCTCTTCCTCTCTCATTTTCTGTACTGCTTAGACACAAACGGGGTCACTGGAGCCAATCCCAGCCGGCATCGGGCGAAAGGCGGGGTACACCCTGGACAGGTCGCTGGTCTATCGCAGGGAAAATACACACACAATCCTATGGGCAATTTAGAGTCACCAATCAACCTCAGCCGCAAGTCTTTGGACAGTGGGAGGAAGCCGGTACCAGGAGAGAACCCACGCAAGCACTGGGAGAACATGCAAACTCCGCACAGAAAGGTCGCGAACCCGGAACTTTCTCGCCGTGAGACAACGGAGTTACCCACCATGCTGCCCCCAGCATCTCTCTGAAAGTGTTTATTTTACATTACACTGTGTGCACAATTATTAGGCAAGTGAGTATTTTGACCATATCATCATTTTATCCATAATTTCCAACTCCAAGCAGTATAAACTTGAACGCTTATTGGAAGTAATGCATATCAGGTGATGTGTTTTAGTGTAACGAGGGAGGGTGTGGCCTAAGGAGATCAACACCCTATATCAAGGTGTGCATAATTATTAGGCAGAATGTTCTCCTCTGGAAAAATGGGCCAAAAAAGAGATTTAACTGACTCTGAAAAGTCAAAAATTGTAAAAAGTCTTTCACAGGGATGCAGCACTCTTGAAATATCTAAGATATTGGGGCGTGATCACAGAACCATCAAACATTTTATAGCAAATAGTCACCAGGGTCGCCAGAAACGTGTTGAGAAGAAAAGACGCAAATTAACCACCAGAGATTTGAGAAGAATCAAATATGAAGCTACCAGGAACCCATTATCCTCCAGTGCTGCCATATTCCACAACTGCAACCTACCTGGAGTGTCAAGAAGTACAAGGTGTTCAGTTCTCAGAGACATGGCCAAGGTAAGAAAGGCTGAAACCCGACCACCTCTGAACAAGACACATAAGTTGAAATGTCAAGAATGGGCCAAGAAATATCTGAAGACAGATTTTTCAAAGGTTTTGTGTACTGATGAGATGAGTGACTCTTGGCGGACCAGATGGATGGGCCCGTGGTTGGATCAGTAACTGACACAGAGCTCCACTTCGACTCAGACGCCAGCAAGGTGGAGGTGGGGTACTGGTATGGGCTGGTATTATTAAAGATGAGCTAGTTGGACCTTTTCGGGTTGAAAATGGACTCAAAATCAACTCTCAGACCTACTGCCAATTTTTAGAAGACACTTTCTTCAAGCAGTGGTACAGGAAAAAGTCTGCATCTTTCAAGAAGACTTTGATTTTTATGCAAGACAACGCTCCATCACATGCATCAAAGTACTCCACTGCGTGGCTGGCCAGTAAAGGCCTTAAAGATGGAAAAACTAATGACATGGCCCCCTTCTTCACCTGACTTAAACCCTATTGAGAACCTTTGGGCCCTTCTTAAGCAGGAAATTTACAGTGAAGGTAAACAGTACACCTCTCTGAACAGTCTCTGGGAGGCTGTGGTTGCAGCTGCACAAAAAGTTGATTCTGACCAGATCAAAAAACTGACTGACTCTGTGAATGGAAGGCTTGTGACTGTTATCGAAAAGAAGGGTGGCTATATTGGTCACTGAGGTTTTCTGTTTGGAATTTCAGAACTGTTTATTTGTAAGTTATGAGTTTGTTTATTATTCTCACTTTAACAGGTGAAAATAAATAAGTGAGATGGGAAAATCTTTTTTATTTAGTTGCATAATAATTCTGCACACTAACAGTTGCCTAATAATGGTGTACATGTAGATATTCTTTTAAGAAAGCCAAAACTTCACTTTTACTACTTAAATGTTCAGGTTTGAGGGTTTAACATTTTGGATTGACCAAGAGCACTCTAGTTGTGCAATAACAAAATTAATCCTCAAAAATACAACTTGCCTAATAATTGTGCACACAGTGTATATGATAACAGAATTCTATTGACTGGGCTGTTAATTAACATATTCACCCTGTGAACGAATACAGGAGATTTAAGTGACCTCTTATTTGCCATTGCACACTGAGAACACCCAACTTATGTAATGTGCAGCAGAAAGTTTTGAATTCAGCTTCTATCTGAAGAAGGAAAATGTAAACTAAACAGACTACAGAGTGAACAGAAGGAATATAAACAGACTTGTAAACATATGATTAAGAAGTGTGAAAAGAAAAGAGTTAAAAAACTGTAAAGATTTGAAAATGTGAACCAGAAATGTGTACCTGAAAGCTTCAGCTACTGAAGCATGAACACAAGGTTACTGCTTTAAAAAGAGCTGTTTATAAGGAACTCAACACAAACCAAGGAGTCTTGATCATTTTAGTAATGTAAAGGTCTTTAAAAGTCGTTTTCATTTCTATTCACATACAAGTGGAGGTCCTCCTTTAAGTTGTTCCAAACATTTGGTGAGGCAGCTTTTAGTTTTCATGCTCAGAGCCACAGACCTTTTTTCACAGCACACATCTTGAATCTTCACAGTATGTAGTGCACAGGTGTAGCTACCACTGTTAAAGACAGCTGAGTTCTTTTAATTGTCTCACTATAGAATGTCACTCAGCGAGCATGCTCCACCTCCATGCTGGAAACAGCTCACATAAATGGACTGCAGCCATCATGATTGTCATCAATTGCATGTGTGCTTTTCCTGCTAGTGTCACGATTCGGGTCCGCTGCTTCCTGTCCGGCTTTTATTTTGACATTACTTCCTGTTTTTGTTTCACCTTAGTTTCAGGCTGCGTCCGAAACTGCCTACTACCATACTGTATAGTAGGCGAAAAGCAGTAGGCGAGGCGAGTAGTATGTCCGGATTCGTAGTATTCCAAAAACAGTAGACGAAAAGTACCCGGATGACCTACTGCTTCCGGTTGGATTTTGCAGTGTGCATACGATGGACACTTCATTATCCCATGATGCCCCGGGAGAGGAGTTATCCAACGAAGAAGACACTGCTATGAAAACGTATGTCACGTGATGTATCAACATGGCGGATGTAGTACGTCCGAATCTCATTCATACTACCAGGCTTCATACTATACAGTACCTACTGTTTTAACGGTCAGTAAGTAGGTACTTCATCTCTTTCAGTACGTACTGTCACAGTATGCGGTTTCGGACGCAGCCCATCATTTGTGTTCTGCCCTCTGGTTTGCCTCTTCAAAACCACCTGCTGCTACAGTGACTGCAGCGGTGTGCAGCACCGTGGCCCCTCCCCTTCGCGGTGTCGGCACACACACAGATCAAAGGCTTTCCTCCCAGGTACTTGCAAGTATTCAGCAGCTGGTGACAGCACAGCTTC